TGTCCTTGCCCCCGATGGAGTCTGAGTGTGCGCCTGTCCCTGCCCCTGATGGAGTCCGAGTGTGCATCTGTCCCTGCCCCCGATGAAGTCTGAGTGTGCACGTGTCCCTGCCCCTGATAGAGTCTGAGTGTGCACCTGTCCCTGTCCCAGTGTGCATCTGTCCTTGCCCCTGATAGAGTCCGACTGTGCACAGGTCCCTGCCCCTGATGGAGTCCGAGTGTGCACCTGTCCCTGCCCCTGATGGAGTCCGACTGTGCACAGGTCCCTGTCCCTGATGGAGTCCGAGTGTGCACCTGTCCCTGTCCCTGATGGAGTCCGAGTGTGCACAGGTCCCTGCCCCTGATGGAGTCCGAGTGTGCCATGTGCACCTGTGCACACACTCTCTGCTCCTGTCGAGATGCCACTCTGCTTCTCAGCCTCACACTGCAGTGTGACAGCTGCTTCACATTTCAGGTCTGCCAGTTGTTTAATCTAAGTCTCAGTTATTTAACCTAAATCTCAATTTCATCATCTATAAATTAATAATAAAAAATTCTCCTTCATAATGTTGCTGTAAGGTTGAAAATACACATCCACTGCCCAGATGTGTCAGGTGCCCATTACAACCCGTGGAACATTAAGTGCTCAGTAAGTGGTATCGATTCCCAGTCTGTGTGCTCACACCACTCTCCACACCACACGGCCGGCCGTCTAAAGCAGTCTCTACCTCCCCCTAGGTCCAACACTAGCTCCCCCCAAAGTCAGGGTTCCCTCTGCAAGTGAGGCACAGAGTCTGGTACAATTTGCTATGTTCACGTCCCACCAACTGATGTTTAAAACAACGACTATAAGTTAGTCTCAATACACGGGGGGAGGGCAGGAGGTGGACTACAGGTGTGTTTTAAGACTAGCATTATGAAGTTTCACTTTACTAAAACGTAACAAGAGTAAAAAGGTTCATTTCACAAATCACATGTCAGCAATTCCATTTCTGTATCTAACTCCTGCCACCATTACCCATTATCGCTTCTCCCAAAAAAAAGGAAAGAGAAAGGAAACCAGCAACAGGAATAAGTTCTATTTCTTTCTGTCTTTTTTTTTTAAGAGACAGAGTCTCACTTTGTCATCCTTGATAGAGTGCCATGGCATCATAGCTCACAGCAACCTCCAGCTCTTGGGCTTAGGTGATTCTCTTGCCTCAGCCTCTGGAGTAGCTGGGACTACAGGCGCCCACCACAACGCTCGGCTATTGTTTTGTTGTTGTTGTTGCAGTTTGGCCGGGGCCGAGTTCGAACCTGCCACCCTCGGTATATGGGGCTGGCACCCTACTCACTGAGCCACAGGCACCACCTGGAATAATTTTAATTTCATTTCACCAATATAAGGAGAGGACATGAATTCAGAGAAGGGGGGGGATGAACAAAAATGACATTAGAAGATAAATTCACAAAGGTTAACATATATTAGATTTATGGTTCATCTGTTCAGTGCTAAGGGCAAGTAATAGACCTTGAAATCTGAAATAGGTTTCACATCCTTAAGGCATAGATGTCAAGGGTAAAGATCAAATGCTTTACCGAGAACGTATTTCGGAAAGCACTAACTGATTCATAAAAATCTCCTCCTGCTCATATTTCAATTCCAAAGGATAAATGCCAGGTTAAGTCAGCTGTATTCTATGATCAAACGGCTCCCCACAATAAAGTAGTGACTGAGTTTGACTCTCCAGTATGACGTGGAAACTATATTCTGTGTTAACAATTGGCTCTACAATTGGCACAGCCTGACTGATAAACAGCTTGCCTAAATTATCTTCTGGATATTCATAAAACTATCGGCAAATGCTGACTGGCTATAAACTTGTCCTTTTTTTTTGTTTGTCCTTGTTACCACTTGCTGTGACCTACACAATATGAAAGAAAAAAGTGAACACTACGGAGGGGGTCAAAATCCATTACCCCAAACTGCCCTGGGTATAGAACCTCACAATACGGGGACATAAATATTAGGAATCAAACAATTATTGGTGAGTTCAGAGAATGCCTGTCAACCAAAAGAATCAAATTTAAAAATTAACAGTCCTGATAGTTCTCTCTCCCTGGAGAGGGTCAAAAACAGAATTTAAATTCTTAAAAAGCAACAGCTTTCCATTATACCACAGTCATTTGTAAAACGGAACTGGGAGAAGATATGAACACTAACAGCAAAAGCAGGAATACACGTAAGAATAAACCTCAATACCTAAGATACAAAAGAAGAAAGAATGAAAGTCAAAGGGAAGACATGGATGTAGTGAGACTGTGCCCCAGGAAGGGAAAGACCCCCTCTGGGAAAGCCATCATGTCTCCCTTTACTAAATTACAAATTAATGCTGGCTCGGCACCTGTGGCTCAAGCGGCTAAGGCGCCAGCCACATACACCTAAGGTGGCAGGTTCGAATCCCCAGCCCGGGCTGCCAAACAACAATGATGGCTGCAACCAAAAAATGGCCGGGCGTTGTGGCGGGCGCCTGTGGTCCCAGCTACTTGGGAGGCTGAGGCAGGAGACTCGCTTGAGACCAGGAGTTGGAGGTTGCTGTGAGCAGTGAAGCCATAGCACTCTACCCAGGGGGATAGCTTGAGGCTCCGTCTCAAAAAAAAAAAAAAAAAAAAAAAAAACAAATTAATGCAAATTCTTATT